TATAGCAGTGTATAATAATTCTTTCGTTGTCCCACCTCGCTCTCGTTACATCTGGCAGTGCATGTAGGAGCCATATTTATATAAATCCGGTGACAACGATGAAGATCAGATAATCGGATAGACTCCTCCTGATTGATAGTATACGAAATGTCATGCTTGGAATCAGATTCATCTTCCGATGTACCTGATTCCTCAAAATGAGGGTGTGTGTATCGTAATGTATAGCAGTGTATAATAAGTCTTTTATTGTCCCACCTCGCTCTCGTTACATCTGGCAATGCATGTGGGAGCAATATTTATATAAAACCGGTGACAGCGATGAAGATCAGATAATTGAATGGACTCCTACTGATTGATAGTATACGAAATGTCATGCTCGGGATCAGATTCATCTTCCGATGGACCTCATTCCTCAAAATGAGTGGGGATATCGAGCCCATAGGGTTACAATCTACAGAAGAGTATTCACCGAAACCTGAAGTCCTTGAACCCTATACCTTGTTATCAGTAGTTTTCGAAATGTCTCCAAATTTGAATATCCGTCTGGGATGACTTCCTCTTCTGGGGCATCTTTGTCGAACCATATTTTCCACGGTTTCTCAGACGCAGTCACTTGAGAAGTAATAAATTGAAATTGCCTTAACATCGACAGTGCAACTAAGTTGAGCCATGTTGCATCAGCGATCCATTTGAATGGCTTGGGTGCCACTGCATTTAAATCTAAAGCCGCACCGCCTTTGATGAAGAACTGAAACTCTTCGTGGGCGACTGTTCCTCGTTGTAATTCAATTTTCAGAGCCATCAATAAGGTGAACATATACTTATGATCTCCATACAGACCGCGAGCTTTGTACTTAAATATCTCGTATGTTAAATATTCGATAATATACCGGATTCGTTTTTGGTTTACGGGACTTTTCTCGGATCTGAAAACGTGAGAGTAAAAGAGTTAAACATCGAGTACACCTTTCGATATATAAATGTTTGATAAGTATCATCATAGTTAATCTATCTCCGTAAAACTCTGTCATACTATTGCGAATGATGTAAATGTTGATAATAATTATCGACAATATTTTCATTTTACATTTATAAATCAGTTTATGTTACCTAGACATTGAAAGGTCGAAGCGCTCAAGGAATTGAACGAGAGACGTCTGATACATGCAGTTGACCTGTGCCATATCACATACTAAAAAGTATAATACACTTCCACGTGTCGCCACGGGTCTGAATTCTTCTCGAGCGGCATTAATCTTCACTTCTGTTTCATTTGCCACTTTTAATTTTTCATTGACTTCGGCAGCTGTTTGTTTGGTGGTGTTTAGTACCGACATTAACTCGACATCCTCTATAAGTGGACCCTAAACAATTGAAGTTTGATTTGACAAAATGCTTATAAATGGCAATTATTGAGGAATTTCTTAAATCTTCGAAAGTTTCGGGCCATTTGAATATATTAAATATATGTCTGCCTTCGTACAAATCCAGTAAGTTCTTATCAATTATATGATTTTGTGAAAAACATACGCTGTTCTCTATGCTCCTGCAACAGCACGGAACCGACCCACGTGGAACAAGTACACGGTATACAAGATATCTGGCATAAGCAAATACAGGGTGTCCCATGACAGTAAATCTCTCATCTCTCTGTTTATAGATGTTATCAACATTTTGCATAAAAAATGAAATTTCATAAGTTTCAGGACCTATCTTAAGGTGAAGTGAAACACGTCGAGGAACTTGATCAACGTCGATAAAGAAGATTTTTCTAAATGCCTACGTTGCCGACGTTCGGTTTTATATTGACAGCTGGGTCGAATTATATCGGGTATTTTACCAAATGGCATATTCCACCTGTCGTTTTCGTACAATAATTATAAAGAAATCGAAGTGAAACTCCAGAAATCTTCTGGATTCATGCCTTCTGGGGCCCTAATTGACTGCGNGGTCTAATACCCTTAAAAAAAAGTGTTGTATTCGAATCGACTGATTTAAAGGATGTTTCACTTCACCTTAACCGCATTTTCCGCATCAGTGGACACTATAAGTTTCTCGCCCAAATGTATTTGGCTCGAAGCTCTACCGAGTTTCTTGATAATCTATTTAGCAGTTTGCTATTCATATAAGTAATGCGGCTGACAGTTCAGTGAATACTGAACTGAAATCAAACGTATTCTTAAGCATTAAACTTACCTGAACTGTCGTAAGTTTATGTAACAGGTTAGCCTCTAATTTTTGAATCCTCCGTTTATTTTGCGTTACATCAGTAATTAACTGTGATCTTTCTGCTTCTAATTCCCATTTTTCAGTTAATATGACTCTTCCTAACAGTTGATCCTCTAGTCCTATGGAACACAACGTAAGATTTGTATATCAAAATATTGGAATTAAAACATTTACATGATAATAAAATGAAATAAAATAACAAAATTAACGATCCAATACGTCTAAATTGGACGAAACCATTACCAGAATGTATCCAGTAGAAAAAGAAAATATAGTACAATATAATGTAGCATAAAGTTTCTTTATATAAGAAATACCTTTCATCGTAACCGTAAAATCAATGACTGATGTACGAGCGAATATCTCTGGAGTGTATGATGGATTAGGCAGTTTTGTAGTTATATAAAGGCGAAAATTGGCGTGATAATCTACCTCCTTGTCGCCTAATTTAACCTGTGGTAAAATTTAAATTAATCTACACTTCATTATATATACATTAATATTAATGGTCTCTCATGCCTTTAAGGAGTTGCCTATTTTCACAAAGCTTTTCTCTAATAAATTATCTAATACGGGATCTAATTGTTCTGCAACATCTTCAATAAGTAAAGGCCGTCCAAGAGAAACGCAATCTTCCAGAAATTGCCGGAAATATTTATTCGTAAGATTAGTTACCTGAAAAAATATAAAGAATTGAATGGATTTCGATCATTATCTTGTTATAAATAATGTTTATTTACCATTAAGTCGAAACTTTTCTCCTTATTTTTAATCCAAGTTTTGCCTTGCAACTGCGGATCAATTAGCAACGGATATCGAGAAGCTTTAGTAACAATTATACCATTTTGTATAGACAGATCATCATTTGGTAATCCTTGTAAATTCCATTCCCCTGTCTATGGAATAATATGGATATTTTAATAGGGTATGAATCATAAAATTATAAATTACAACGTTCCAGATGGATAAAACGAGAAATTCATATAAAAATTGTCATCCTCCCTTCACCGAATGTCCGACGTTCAATGAAAGTTGTCTGTTATGTGCTACATTACTTTTTACTTCCCGAGGGAGAAAAGTAGTCACTTTCTGATCGCATAAAAGTGAATTTCAGGAGGCAAAAGACAGTTGGTGATGTATCAATCTCTTGGGTTTGATAGGGTGGTGGATGGGGCGTTTTTATTAACGAATGCCTTGTACAACTAAATAGTTTATAACTATTCATAAAAAATGTATAAACAATTTCGAAAAAATGTTCATTATTCGATTTCACTGTGATCGTGGCGGCTTTCCCACCGTTTCCAGCAGCGCCCGCACCGTTGCAATCACTGAAAAGGCGGTTTCACCGCCAACTCTCACACCTTCCGCGAGGAGCGCCTAAGGAGCTAGTTAATTGTAACTAGGGACTTTTTCTCTAACAAAGACCGAAATGGAAGTTCCCATCGGCGAGAAATTGAGTACGCGTGTATCACGTTGTAAAATAAAAATCCAACTGACAACCGATGGCATCTGATTGCGAGCAGCGCGATTTAGCAGTACCATTTAGCAGCGTTGCTGAATTGCTTACGATGCGATTTAACCATGTTATTCAATCACGCTTGTAAAAGTCGCACCGCAAACGTTGTCAATGAATTATCGTTAAATATGTATGTAAGTATATAATACATTCAGTAGATTGTCCTTTTACCGTTTGAGTCCCAGGGGGTATTGAAAAAACAGTGTCGAAGAATCCCGAACAGCGCAACCGCGCTTTCTCTAAATGAGTACGAGAAGACCCAAGCGGTGCGATAGCGCTTCTTTTATTTTATGTCGACGAATCTCAATCGGCGCGATAGAGTTTCTTGAATTGTAAGATGTATTATTTACATGAAAAGAAGCTGTGCGATGTACTTGGGTCAGTAAATCTGAGCGCGGGACTTCGACAATCGGTGACGCACCGTCAGTTGTCCACAACGCTCGAAATGTGCTGGGTTTTCTCGACATAAAATCTGAACAACGCGATCGCGCTGCTTGGGACTCAAACGGTTAAGGTGAAGTGAAACGCGTCGAGGAACTTGATCAACGTCGATAAAGAAGATTTTTCTAAATGCCTACGTAGCCGACGTTCGTTTTTATATTGACAGCTGTGTCGAATTGGGTATTGTACCAAATGACATACTCCACCTGTCGTTTTCGTACAATAAATATCAAGAAATCGAAGTAAAACTCCAGAAATCCTCTGGATTCATGCTTTCTGAGGCCCTAATTGACTGCAGAGGGACCCCCTGCGCCATCTGTGATTTCCAGGTCAATTAAATTTTCACTCCGAGACCTCGTATTCCCATCGTTTTAGCATAGAAGCGCATACAACACTTTTTTTGCCTTTATCCCGTTCAAATGCGAGTTTATCGATTACCAGAGTGTTCTAAATTGTCGTCAAATTGTCCTGACCCTTTCGATTCTCATATCAGAGCCTTCGATAATTGTATATCGATCGAAATATGAGAGCTCGACGCCATTTTGGTTTTGATCTGGGCTGAGTTACAAAATTTTTTGTACAAAATCCAAATTTTGAATGTGTCAGGACAATTCTTAGATGATCAGGAGTGATGTGTCAAAGTTTCGGATAGTTTGGTCTAATACCCTTGAAAAAAAGTGTTGTATTCGAATCGACTGATTTCAAGGGGGTTTCACTTCACCTTAAGGTTTGCCCATTTAGCTTCACGGTTTTAAACATGTGTCCAGGATAAATATGCTGGCATCCAAGTTGTGGAATAAGATCGTTTATCATGGAGTCTTGAAGTTGATTAAAAACTTCCGCATCTACACTATTTTCTGAAATGCAATGCAATTATAAAAGTACGGTATACTTGGATACTGCTAATACTTGAACTGCCGATCGGGTTTCTGCATCAAAACAAAATGGCGACCGAGAGTCACCTCTCGAGTGCTAAGAATTAATATTATAAGGCAAGGCGTTAAATGAAAGTCTTTGGGAAACTTTGGTGAAATCTTAGGCCAAATTACTCACTGTTGCAGTATCCGTTAATGCATCGATAACATTAACAGAGCTGGAGACTGGAATTTTTCGAATTTCAATGAACTCCAGTGATTTCTGTTGGAATAAAACTCGGAATTCCTGATTGAAAGGCCCACAATAAGAGAGAAATCCTGCTAAGATCAACACGTCACCTACGAGTCTGTCTATTTCTGATTTAAACGTTGCTAATTGATCGGTCCAGCGAACTCGTTCTCCAGCCAGTCCGTCGATCATGGCTTTAGCTGTGTTCATTTTTGCTTGACACAAATCTGCTGCATCGACTATTTTCTGTAATTAGACATCAAGTTAAATCCTGCCTACAAATTTCAGCTTAAAGTAGAGCACATTTTATTTTTTTTTTGCAGAAAAATACACTTCCATTTAATTCATTTAACGAATCAAATAGCTAAATTTGTCAAAAAGATTTAACACAGCTGTTGCTTTTTTTACCCGGCAAAATATATAAACCGATTTTATTTTGAGCATAACATTTTAGTTTTTCTTTACGATAGATTTATTTACCTGACGTTCAGCCATTACAGCGTCATATTCTCTTTGCACGACTTTCAGGTCTTCGTCTTTCGCTCGTAAGACCTTCTCCGCTTCAGCTAAATTTCGATTAGCCTTTTCGTGTTTACCTACTTGTATAGCTAAGTTCGCCTATAAAATAAGCATAAAGAAATGTGTGTAAATCTGCACTTTCAAACAAGTAGCTAATACGAATGATTAACACTATGCCGTCCGGCGACACCACAGTGGTGACGTGCGCAAAATAGCGGTCAACGGCCGGTGACACCACAGTGGTGATGTGCGCAAACTTTTGGCCAACGGCCGGCGACACCACAGTGGTGTCGATAACGTCAAAAACGGCCGGCGACAAGTCAAGTGATCCGAATTAGCGCTGCCGGCGCCAAGCGAATGAATATTTACGAATCGTGCGGACGGCAAAGTGTTAACATTATTTATTTATCACCTTCAAAGGAAGCACATCTTTGTTGATACCATAAAATGTCACCATGGAAATAGTCCACTGAATTAATCCGGCAACATTTCCACACGCTTGTTTGGCGTTTTCATATGTATACATAGAGTAATTTAAATATGGGAGCATCAAATCTACAGTTTCCCCGTTTATACTATCTTTTGGGAATTGTTGTAAATTATGCAAAAATCGAGTATCTGCCATGACCTACAAAATACACAGATTTCAATTTACGACATGCAACAGTTATTACGAACACGTTACTTTTTTATGTAGCAATAGGAACTAAAAGTCTGTCGTACGAGGATACCGAAGGGGGAGTGATTATACTCTATTATTTAAACTATTTAGACAATTATTTAGTAGTTAGTATAACAAAATATTACTCGACCGTCACGTAACATTACAAATAATTTTGTGTTTTCTTGCTATACAAGTTTCAACGTCAACTTTTTATTTTTTCAATTCAATTTTCTTCCGATACCAGTTTTAACATTAATACTTTCAATGATAATACAAGGGAAGTATCGAGTTATCAGAAAACCAAATTGAAAGCATCAGTGTTAAAACTGGTATCGGAAGAAAATTGAATTATTTGTTAACCCTCTATGGGCCGAATTTGTTTTAAATAAAAAAAAAAATTGGGGGAACGAAAAATCATCAATTAGGAACCTATATATGCAAATGAAAAAAAAATGTTTCATTTAAAATGTGACCTGAAAGTTACACGGGCCCATAGAGGGTTAAAGTAAAAGAGAAGTCAAGAGTGAATATAAGTAAAAGAGGATTTCAATGAAAGTCCAATTTTCAGTGCCTGCCGACCGTGGCGGAAGTTGCCTATTACGTGTTATGTCACACTTACCTCCTGCAGGAGGAAAGTGGACTACGTCAAACTTTACTTCCCACGGGAGGAAAGTAGTCACTTTCCGCCTGTATAAACGTAGAGTTTGGGAGGGAAAGAATCGTTGGACGGCGGTGTATTAATCTCTTAGGATTAATGAAGTGGTGAGTGGAGCGGTTTTATTAACTAAATGTCTTGCACAACTAAATAGTTTCTACTTATTTATAAAAATTTGTAAATTATTTCGTCGAAAAATTTCCATTTTTCGGTTTTGTAACGATATTGTCAAGTTGCATCATTATTCGTCAGACATTTAAATGCCGTACTATCGGTTTGAAGGGAGGATGAAAAATAGTATTCGTATCTCGGGAGTTCAGTAGGCTACTACGACTCGTGTGTTGTCGACCTCGATTTGTTTTTGCGGTAAACGTATACGCAACCGCCTACTTTCATCCATCGTCAGGTAATGTATTGTTTCAACTCCCCTGCAAACCATAAGTCCGACTTCTAAATGCCCGTTGAATGGTGACATTATCGCGGTGAAGGTGAAAAATGGAAGTATTTTTTTAATTGTTTACAAATTTGTTATGGACAATTATAAACCATTTAGTTGTACAAGGCATTTCTTAATAAAAACGCTTTATTCCAACAATCCAAAGAGATTGGTGTACCACCAGCTGCCTAATGATACTTTCCCTCGCGAATTCCACTTTTTTTGCGGATGGATTGTGATTACTTTTCTCCTTCTGGAGATAAAGTGTGACTTAACACGTAATAGGCAACTTTCGCTACGGTCGACAGACACTGAAGGTCGGACTTTCCGAGGAGGGAAGATGAAAAAGTATTATTTGCAACTAATACCGACATTTGATGTGAATCATCTTACCTTTAGAGCTTCGTTCCATGATGGCATTAAAAATTGTTTATCGTAATCTGGTTTGACAGGATCCAATCTTTTGCTGAACAGTATTAATACGCAATCCATAATGAGAGTAATTAAGTATGGAGGTTTCCCAAGTTTACGAACGGTTGCTATGTCAGCTGCTTTTATAGTCTGAAATAATATGTTTATATACGTAATAATATTGTAAATGTTAGAACCGAACAAAACCCTCAGGTATTGAATTTTAGCATCGTTCGGATACAAATTGTATTAAAGTCAATACTTTCTTCATTTTGAAAAATAAGTTCATATTTTTAATCCGGCGTGCATAGAGCTAGAAAAAAAAAATGGTGCAGTTCGTATAGCGGGTGTGACGTACTCTGTGACGGGTGAGCCCGTCACGCCGCTTCAAACCGCGCGCCACGATTGCCGGCAGCGCCGGCCGCGCAGCCGAGCGCCGACGTTACCGCGCCGGCGCGCCCGAACGCCGCCGAGTCGGCCCGAGGCGCGCCGAAGGCCGAGCGGGAAGAGGCCCACGGAAAAGACTTCCGCCCGACCTCGTGGAGAGAACAGGTGTGCATCGACCGACCTCCGTCTGTTACCGTCCTGTGGGAGTGCCCTACGCCCGCCGCCCCTGTCAGCTCCGGCTTCCCCGAAGGCTACACCACCCCGGGCCCTCCAAGAGGGCCGCCCAGTGCCCGCGCTTGCCGATCTCCGACCGCCGGTTGCTGCCGCCACGAGGCGCCCGCCATTGCACCAGCGTCCGCGTGCTCGCCGTAGACGTAAGTAGGTTAAGTCGTTAGAATAAGATAGTTTAGGATAGTACACTAGGGTAGAATAGCAACAAATTCCTTGTTGATTAAATCTATATCTTTCTCTCCCCCCTCTCTCCTCCACCCGTATTCCTTTCCCCGTTATAACTCTAATAAAAAACTAAGTGGTATGCTGTTATTTCATTATTATGGCGTAGTGTAGACACCCTTTACGAAATAGTCATAACCCGGTAACCCGAAAGGTAGCCATGGAGTTCCGCAAATTAGCACGCGATTAAGACATACGCTTGCGAAAGGAAGTCCTGAGTCCGCCTGGCGAAAATCGCGCCACTGACCCAAGTAGACCAGATTGCAATCAATCGGCCCAAAACGCATCCTGATGACGCTGCAGCACACTGAACACTCCTGCAATCACCGCCCTCATCTAGATCATGGGAACCCCCACCAACCGAAACGCCGTCTCAAATTCACCGATAAAAAACAGCAACCATTTTTGGAACGAAGCTCAGTCCTGTGCCTAATTACAAGTCTCACGACCTCACCGATCATCATCGACATCGAGTAGACTATTCGGATAGCAATAAATGATGGTGCAACGATACCATGGAGTTAGTATGCAAACGGTAGACGTTGTGGTGACATTTGGAAACCTAAAAATGGGACAATCGCACGGAAGAGAACGAGACACGAGGAAGAGAGAGCAATTTCAACGAGATACTCGTATGAGGGAGATAGAGCAATTTCGACGAGATCGGTACAAAAAGTGGGTGATTTTGACCATCTTATGAATATGTTACACCGTATAAATTTGGCAATAATCCAAGTCATACATTATGCTATCAAGTTTATAGGGCATTTCAAGTGGTATACTTGTAAAGCAGCTTCCGCCTCTAACAATGCCGGTTCAGCAGCCTTTAATTTCTGTTCGGCGATCGCTTTTTCTTTCGAAATAATTTGCAACAAAGCCTCTGCTTCGTCCTTTACCACTTGCACTTTCATTTTAATACCTTCGGCGTCTTTCTTTTTTTCGTCTACTGTGACCAAGATCTGGAAAAGTCAGTGTTTACGAGTTATTAATAATTCAATGTTCTTCTATCTTATAAACATAAGTTGTAGAAAGTGAACGCATAGAAATGCATAATATTAATAGAAGAAAAGTCCTGTCTATCAATAGCGTATCAGCACTAATCCGCACTAACACTATCAATACTATTGAGATACTGTTGGCACCCGATTAATCCGAGCCAAAAGTTACATGTGCTATTAGATATGCATTTCTCGGTATTAACTCATATAATCTACTAAACATAGTTGAGGTGCTATAATGTTGTAGCAAGATATTCTGGTATAACAATACATAACGTTTCAAGAATGTTACTAGTAACGCATATGTAAATTTCAATTTCAGCTTTAGCATCATGTGTAACAGTTACATTACAGTTATCTAGTTTAATCATTTACATTTTTAATTATATTAATATCTGTATTTATTTTTCAATAAGTTAAATAAATTTGAAAAGTTTACGCTCCAAAAATATCCTATTTTGATGACAATTAGAAGAGAAAAAAAAGTACGTGCTATCGAGAATTAAATCCACGACTTGTAACGTATATTAAGGTGAAGTGAAACACGTCTCTGGGAAAAGTATTGAAAAAAATAATATTTTAGAAGCCTAAAGAATATTTTGCTTAAGAAGTTGAACACATTTATGATTCGGAAAATTTAAAGTTACAACTCTTATAAGATAATCATTATGCCAAAAATTTAATTTCTTGAATACGTTTATAGGTTATGTGTGATTTAAATAATTTTCTAGAATAACGAAAGACCGCAATGTTACAGGACACTGGTTAATCACAATAAAACGAGCTGCTACTTACGGCTTCTACTTGAACATTTTTTACAGCAATTTCTTCCTGAGTTTTCTCTAAAACTTTACGCAGATCATCTACTTGCGCAGCAGCATCCACTAATTTATTTAAACCACTGCTCATACGTTTAGCGAGGGAATTGATATTATTAAGCCATTGTTTGTATATTATTTTATAAGCGTCGATAAATGAAAGGAATGACTTGGGCGTAACATATGTTTGCCGACGGAATCTGGAAAGAATAATATGTTGTTTAAGGTACTTTACATTACATACTATTTGACATACTATTTTACACGCTAATGAGTAAATTGATTAATGTTAATATACTTATTATTCTCAATACTTAGCAATCGATTACATTTGAATCATATATATTCGGTGGCTGTTGATTACATTTTTTCATTCGTACCAAAGAAATTAATTACAAAAATTCCTACTCATACTAGGGGTATCCATAAGTAATCCATTCATTGACATCTAAAACACCTCTTTCAAAATAATTGAATACTTATGGGTACCCCTAATACATACACCCTTCTGAAAATTTAACATCCTAGCATTATATTTATACTTTGCGACAGCGGCCTTATGTCCGCAATTTCGGACCGCAGGACCGACAGTCCGCCGACAAACTTGGCCCCTTTTCCCGAACGTCGCATAGGGTGGCGGAATCGCTTCCCCGATCTTCCGAGGATGCCAGTCGGGTTTTATCGCCGACCGGTTAAGGTGAAGTGAAACACGTCGAGGATCTTGATCGACATCGATAAAGAAGATTTTTCTAAATGCCTACGTTGCCGACGTTCGTTTTTATATCGACAGCTGTGTCGAATTATATTGGGTATTGTATCAAATGGCATACTCAACCTGTCGTTTCCGTACAATAATTATAAAGAAATCGAAGTAAAACTCCAGCAATCCTCTGGATTCATGCTTTCTGGGGCCCTAATTCACTGCAGAGGGACCCCCTGCGCCATCTGTGATTTCCAGGTCAATTAAATTTTCACTCCGAGACCTCGTATTACCATCGCTTTGGCATAGAAGCGCATGCAACACTTTTTTTGCCTTTATCCCGTTCAAATGCGAGTTATTACCAGATTGTTCTAAATTGTTGTAAAATTGTCCTGACTTTCGCTTCTCATATCAGAGCCTTCGATAATTGTGTATTGATGGAAATATGAGAACTCGACGCCATTTTTGGTTCTGGTCTGACCTGAGTTAAAAAAGTTTTTTGAAAAATCCAAATTTTGAATGCGTCAGGACAATTCTTAGATGATCAGGAGTGACGTGTCAAAGTTTCGGACAGTTTGGTCTAATACCCTTAAAAAAAAGTGTTGTATTCGAATCGACTGATTTGAAGGGGGTTTCACTTCACCTTAACTCCCTGCTAGTCGGAAACGGGGTGGCTTCTGACCACTAAGGACGCTGGAAAGGGCGAAGGAAAGTGCGCGGAAAGAAACCCGCCGTACTAACTGGTGTAAATTTCAATAAATCAAGATACATAAACAAAAGAGCCCCAAATTACAAAAGCATGACCTAGTCAGGCCCGTTTATCTCCCTTGCTCTGGAACCCCCATATCCTGCACGAGGCGGCGCGAGTACTTTAAGGGCGCTCACCACTCCAGCGATTTTGCAAGGCCTCACGGGGACGATTCCGAACGTATTTCTAAACCGATCGAGCTTAACGAGTGCTCATATCGAAGATGAAATGTTGACCTGTGTTTATATGGGAGCGATTTTCGATAAGTGGTCATTTTCATATAAAAAAGGGCAACGACATAATTTCAATGCCCTTTTACCTAGGAAGGAGGTGCTTGATCGAAAATCGCTTCCATATAAACACACGTCAACATTTTATCTTTGAAACGAGCACTTGTTGAGCTCGATCGGTTGAGAAATACACTCAAAATCATTGTCCCCGTGGAGCATCTTTTTCAGGATTGTCGGGTTTCTCGTGAGGAATTTGGGCATTCTTTGGCAACCGTTGCCGACTCTAGGCGGAGCGTCCACCTGGCGTGTGTGGGCGACTGCGGGTCACCCACGTTTCGGCGTCTAGTCCAGAGGCGTCTAGCCGTTGTGTAAGTCCTATACGTGCAAAATACGCACGCAGTTACGCCCGTTGCTAAACACCGCCCATTATGCGTTGCGTCTCCCTCATCCGAGCGAGAAAGTACGTTTTGGTTACCTCCCACCTAATTCGATGCTAATGCCATCTAGCGGTGGAAGTCATCGTCCCCACTTTGGTGGTGAACGCCGTTAATCGTTGCGTGCGCGCAACTGTCTTTTCTCGTTATCCCTCGGGGTCGAATGGCCCGTTTGAGCATTTTATAGCCCCGAACGCGCCTTTTGTTTAATCCCTAGTAATTACTCGCACCTGTCATGCGAATTAAATATCAATTCCCTTGCGACAAGAAGTTTATCGCTATTTTTGCCTGCGCTTCCGGCGAAGTCACTGTTTTCGGGTCCCTTTCCTTTTGAATTTGCGAGCGTCCCTTGTATCTCAGATCCAGTACCCTTTATTCCTCACTTTTATAGTCCCTGTTCCTTGCTTACAATTCTCTACAATTATTTAATTAGTCGTCGACGCGTCCGCGTCGTGCGCATTTCCTGTCCGTCCAACTGGCGTGTGCGGGCGGCTGCGGGTCACACACGTTTCGGCGTCTAGTCCTGAGGCGTCTAGCCGTTGTGTAAGTCCTATACGTGCAAAATACGCACGCAGTTACGCCCGTTGCTAAACACCGCCCATTATGCGTTGCGTCTCCCTCATCCGAGCGAGAAAGTACGTTTTGGTTACCTCCCATCTAATTCGATGGTAATGCCATCTAGTGGTGGAAGTTATCATCCCCACTTTGGTGGTGAACGCCGCTAACAACTTATCTGGGCTATTCGGGGGCATTTTGTGAAGTTAGGTTCGAGGCCGGGATTGCCGGCTATAAATCGGGCTAGAGTGGTACGCGGTTTTGACGTTCTCGAGGACGGATTGCAAGTCGTACCAGGATAATTGACATGTCGACGTGCCTGGCGCTCAAGATTTTTTACGAGTCCGATTCTCCCTGCAATCCCGTCCCGATATTTTGACGGTCTCGGCGCGATTGCGTGGCCCGGACGGAATTTGGCCACCCACGCGATCGGACAGACCGAGCCGACGGATCTGAAAAGGGGTCGCGATACTTAGTTATTAATAAAAATAGATAAAACACAACAAGATTCAAGAAAGTGACTAATCTTCTGAATTATTAAAATATGAATCTCATAAATGTACCAACCTGTCGAAATATTTTGCACAAATGTCGCTTACGTCATCGTGTACATCACCCATTACTTGTATGAGTTGTTGCTTGATTTCTGTAGTACACATGACCTTATATTTTCCCAAAAAATGGTTACTAACAGCACACAATGCATCTTTTGGCCAACGTGTAAACCAGTTCATCGTGCACCCAGAAATAAGACCAGGAAACTTAAGCGACCTCGATCTGAATTTTTCACCTACCTAGAATTTTTAATTTACTATTTAGAACAGAATTGCAGAAAAACGATTCGGTAGCTTAGAATGTTAACTTTACAATTTTTCATAATGACGCCAACGACAATTTCTGTTGCAATATAGTATTAAAATCGTCCACATGTTTCGAAAGAAAAAGTATACATTTAAAAGAATGCAATTGTAAATAAAATGCAAAGAAATGTGCGAATAACATTAAAATATTAAACATTGAAAGAGCTTTTAAGTTACCAATGACAATTTTTCGAACAGGTAAACTCAACAGTTACTTAAAGAATTACTTAACTTAACTTACTAAAGAATTACTTACAACCGAGTTACTTAAAGAATAGAACGGTCCTGGACCTATTTAAAAAAAAATTAAAATTTATAAATACATAACATTTAATTTGGTTTTCTAAGACATATGAAACGAACAAAACCCATTAATTTAAGCCCGCCTTTGCTAAAAAAAAAAGGGCATCCATATAGTGTAACGGGTCAAACGGCATTGCGGACCACTGTACTCGAAATTAATTTGGGAATCGAATTACGCGACGTGCGCTCATTAGAATAGGTGAGGGAAGCGCGAAATTCATCGATCACATCGATTCATTTGGGAGACTACATGACCACGGACGATCTTCGATTGGGAACCTTCTGAGCTGACGGAGAAATTTTATCAACTCGGATTCCTCGGCTTCGACGGACTGGGAGCTGGGAGTGCATCGAGAGGAGACGAGGAGCAGCAGTCTTGGAGCTGCGAAGCGGACCAGCCGCTCCGAGGAACAACAAAGAACGCAATCCGCAACTGTAGTTGCACCTCCCTCTTCCCTCTCCCGACGGGTTCTGGAATTGCGCCAGCATCCATCTCTTATCGTTTCTTAAATCCTTCCACTGCCAATATCTGCGATAATCTCCCTCGCGAAATAAAGGGCTTTATGTCTGTGAAGTGCAGCTTCGGGAGGATAATAGTTGGAATTAGGAAATCGTCTGCGAATAGCAGGGCCGGTCTTTCTCTGCGATAAGCTAACACGACGGGAGTGTAGGCCACGATTTGCAGATACGAGAAGTAATTCGGGAACCTTTCCTAAATCTCTCACTTTCCTTGCAAACAACTCATTGATGACATAGGCGCTTTCTATGAATATCAGTCGCCGTACCTGAGAGATGCTCTATAATTATGAAATTCCTTCAAAGAAACGTGAGAAATTCTTTGAAAATTAGAATCGCGCGGACGTCGAGGAATAATTTCAATCATCCTCGGATCGCGAACCTTGAATTTGTCCAAATAGCCAGTGCGCTAGGTCTCGCGGTAGGTAAACACGGCACAGATGACCATTAACACGTTCGCGACGGGGCCTGAATTCACTGGCCGCACCGTAGGGCAGGCCTGTTTTTGTGCTCGATCCCATCGGGCGGGCGGAGTCCCCGGTGGTACATGAACCATTGCCGCGTTATAGCAATTGACACGTTTGCGACGGGCCTGTATTTAGTGGCTCCGCCGTGGGGTGGCGCTGTTTTTCGCACTTTCTGCCATCTGACGGCGCTGATTTGAAATAAATCATATGCAACGTGTTTCAACATTGTGCATCTTTTGAGAACATAAAACGATCGAAATAGAAACACATATTTTGGTTTCTGTCCAAGCTACACCCAACTATTGTTAGTAGGTCAAAAAGTATAACAAAATTAACATTTTGCTATAATAACTTATATAATACTTTTGCTCTGAGAAAATTGACACCGGCGTGTACCACCGGTGGCTCATCCCGCCCGATGGGACATTTCTGTGTATACCACCGGTGGCTCTTCCCGTCCCATGAGACAGGCAAGAATGTACTACCGGTGGTACACCCCGTCGCGAACGTGCTAAACAGTTTTTCTACCGCGCGTATCAAGTTTCGCCGCGCACGTTGGCAAGTTATAATCTAAGGACGATACTTCGATCTCATTCTCTATCGCCTGTCTCCTCAATAAATGTATGTACATCTTTACCACATACGTGCAAGGTGGCACGAATCCGCGGTAAAGCAACTTGTGGGACGGCATTTGACGACTCAAGCTGCTACTGTTACAATAGAAAAACCATGCATTCCATTAGAACTCCACTGTACCACCCAAGTCACGAGGACTTCATACCTAATTTTTTAATATATTCCCCGGGAGATCATAACAAATGATTGCGTAAATGGAAAAAAAAATGAATTATCCGTAACAGACCGTTCGTCCTCCGTAACCGCAGGGGGGTAGGTCAGCACATTGCAGATAAAGTACCGTGAAATCTAGACGGGGGGGGGGGGGGGGTCTTATCGCCAATTTTTTATATATTCTCTGGAAGAAAATAAACGTCGATACACATACTGGAGCACTCTGTAACTCTATCAGCGTCTCGAACTCGGTCCTCTTCCTACACAATCTCTCACTAGGCGGACTCTATACCGACTGCCTTTTCGAACTTTTAAATTACTAACGCTATCCGAATTTTGGTGGTCTAATCCCCCCCCCCCCCCCGGTTACTCCGCGAGTCGTGGAAGGGGGATGTTCGATTCGAATGGTGGTTCAAACGTCTTAGAGATCGTGGACGTTGTCACCGGGTCTCTTCAGGGTGAGAATGGTTGGCGATCCCCGAGGCCGTTAGGGAATCCGCCGTTGGGCTTCCCCCTGGGATGGACCATAGTGGTCGAGGACTGCCCTTCGTAATGCCACGGCTCCCTCGACGATGGCTATGGCTTGTCCACCATGCGAGGTCTGCCACCCGTACTCCTCCTCGGTGTCTCTGAACCTCACCCGGTCGATCCCCTCCTAATCGGGGTGCTGGGGTTGCCAGACCTGTGGCATATGCTGGTGAACCTCCCAGAGCGAAGCGCATCGCCAGGTTCGGAGACTGCGTATTCAGTTCACGTACCGCTTTCCAAGTGGGCGTTCTTCCGGCGACATCGCAGGATACCCCCTGTGGGTCAAGGGGTCCCAGGTCCCGGATATACTGAAACCCTTGCCTAGGCCTTCATCTTCTCATCTTCCTCACCTCGCACAGTCCCGGGAACTCCGAGGAGTCCTGAAACAGAATTGTGCCTAATCTAACCTCTTCGCGTGACCTTTAGGGTCACCGAAAATCCCGAATCGTCTTCCTTGCGGTGATGGTTCTGGAACGGGCGAAATCTCGTCAAAGAGTAAAAGAACGTGCACCAGTTTTAGGGCAGGAGAAGTAAGTTCCGGGGGATACGCGTTTTCTTAGCCGGCATAATCGTTTGTTATGGTCTTCACGGAAATATATAAAAAAATTAGGGATTAAGTCCTCGTAGCTTGGGTGGTACAGTATACTTTTAATAGAATGTATCGTTTTTGTATATGTAGAGGTGCCCCTTTTACCTAAGGCGGCCTTAAATTAATGCTCGCCGTTGGTTTTTTTTTTGTTTCATATATGTTACAAAAGCAAGTGAAATTGTTATAAACTCATAAGTTTTTTTTTCAAATCGCTCCAGGAACGTTCCATTCTTGATTAGCTACGCAATTAGAGAATGTAATAAAGCATATATACCCAAGACCCAGGACGAAATATAATCGCCTATTTTGAAATAAAAGCAAACTTTTGCGGTTAGGAAAAGACATAAAACTCCACGTTCCGCAATTACAAACAAATGACACAGTTACATAAAAAAAATCATTAAACGGTTATGGTGAAATAATGCTTCAATAACAATTTAGTCTACCTCATAACACTGAAATTAATAAGTTTTCAGTATTTGGAGTAATCACTTTAATTAAAGATTTAGTGTAATGTCGTGTCATCAGCTTATTACCGATTCATGCAATCAACAAAAAGTACATTTTCTCTTAAATTACTATACCCCTTTTTTACATACCGTTTTAGTATTTACAAAGGGATAACGCAATAAAAATTATTTTATTACTAAGTTATCATAACTATAGACTATCGTAAAAATATCGTTATGCGATTGTAAAATGATAAACGGTAATTACGGGAGAAAAGCAGAGGACAATGTGCAGCTGATTTCTGGCCCTTGATATGAAATATTCATAAAGGTTGTCAAGTGTTGGTGGTTTCCTAGGGTCGTCCTTTTTCATCAATGGCGCTGCAGCCATCAATATTTCGTCCAGTTCATCTTTCGGAAAAAGATTAGCTACTTCACCGACGCTTAAGATGTTATTCATATATTCCAGAAACGCTTCTTCCTTGATCTCATTGTCAGTAAATATGAATGTAATCCCCTTAGGTCCCGTGCCAGCATCTCGATATACTTTACGGAGATCCTCAATTAAGCTTCCTACATTATAACTCCTACAGAATAATATATGGTACATATTAGCGAAACTTGATCAGACTTATTGAAAATATGTTAACTCAACAATGTTAAAGAATAAATTAATCCGCGATTATCATTAATTATTACAAAAATTTAAAAGTTAAATGAAAGTTTGAATGGACTGCAGGTTTCGTGGTAAATGTTCCTCTATACCCATATGGTATAGCGGAACAACCAAATTCGAATTTCTATAAATATAATATTTTACAATAATGATTACTTAATCTCCATGAAGAAAAGTCACAAAAACTTCTAAACTTTGTCGCAGTATGTATGTACAAGTAAACTAAACCATGTATACTGGGAGACATTAATGCCCTCCCATCCTGCACAGGCGATGTCGCACCTTCAAGGGAGGCATTCATGTCCGCCATTGTACGTGTGATAGACGTTTTATGTTTCTAAATTACTAATATGCTATCATTACCTGGACAGAATAATTTGAAAACAATTGAATCCTGCAATGAATGAGGCGAGTCGTGTTAAACTTTGCTTCCCTGACCCTCCAACGCCAACTAGCATGGCGTTGCCTCTCCGTATTCCAAGAATTCTTGATATCCGTATAAGGTGAACAAGAGCATTATGAAAAAATACCAAATCCATACTCATGCCTCGTACGTACTCGTTGTACTGTTCCATTTGTTGATGAACTTTGGATATGACAAACTCGTAACTGTAAAAATGGTTACACATAAGTTATTGTACAATTTGGGGTCAGTTATATTATTGCACTTCTTTCCTCAATTACTTTGGTATTTCCTCATAAATTTTTGGAGCTTCGAAAACGAAATCTTCGGGTTCATTTCCCGTTGGTTCAGGAGGTTCTCGTAAAAAGTTAACGAAATATGTTTCTTTAGAAATGATTGCAGACAATTCTGGGCCTACTGCATTCTCCAATGTGCTAACTATCATCTTTTTGAACCAATCCGTGTCAGAGTGATTTATGAAACTAAACAATTATATTAAGTATTATTTTCATGTGTAACCAGTGCACCGTTAACATGTTTCGTATTGCAACTGTTATGATAAGTAGGAGGGTGGTTATGATGAGTAATGATTGCATAAAGTAATATTTATATTCCGAGTCGCAAACAGATATAAATAAATATATTTTAACGTGTACACGCTTTTATAATATAATGTAACATGTAGATGTAACATTTTTAAATTGCCTTATTTTAGAGGCATTTCTGAACATTATTACATTATTATTACTTTATTATTATACAATATTATTTCATTACATTAATGAACAAACAGGTACTTTTTCCTGAAATTACAATCTCTAAGTTATTAAATATATACAGTGTGACGTGTATTTATTTGAATTCCTTCCCTATGTTGCAGAAATTAAGTTTCTGAGACAGTAGTGTGGCCAGAAAACATGCTCGGCTTTACTTACTGCTTTCATTATCCAGATTTTTGGGGTTACTGAATTTAAATCTAATAATAGAATTCTTAGATTCAGGTATAGAAAACTTTGTCCAATGTATACATTTTTATATAAAAGGGTATTTCAAAGCTTTTGAGGCTACTAAATCCACTGTCAGGAGGCTACCTTTAGTTCTTGAAAATAAAGAGGTGTGCAAGTAGGCCGCGACGACGATCCCTCGTTCGCAAGTGCGACCCAAGGAACGAGTCGCTTCGCCGATCCCAAAGGGCACCAATCGAGGTTTTCCGCCGAACTCGGTCCAACCTCAGCTTCCCTTATCTGATTAGACAATCAGATCGACAGCAACAAACTATTCGAAAAGGGGGTGGTTTCAAGCCGCAAAGAAACTGGAAGGGAGCGCCTAGTAAAGTGGAAACCAACAATAGTTAGCACAACTCCGCTTTAATAACGTTGAGAACAAGTATATCCGACTTTAACTAATTCCCGAGACCTCAGCTTGCACGCGTTGCGCCCTTTCGCTCAAGAGCCCTCTCCACAAGGCAACGCGAATAAAGAAACATGGAAGCCTCTCATGGCTTCCGACAAACCCTGAATTTCACGGCTCGCCCCCTTCAGCCCTTACGCCAATACTCGAACTGCATCTCTCATGGGCCGGATCCCAGCCGTCTCCGTGTGGCGGCCGCTTCGCGATCAACTTCGCTGCCGCTCCCGCAGGACACGGGTCTGCATACCCGCAGCACTACACTAACACTCGGATAAGCGAAACGCGACTCGACACCTTGCTAAAGTACCCTCTTAGCAATGCAACATTGGCTCAGGATAGCCCAAAAGACACGATTCAGAAACCAAAATCCGTGCGCGGGCTCGGCGCAGATTGGAGGGTCGAATCGCGACGATCCCCCCCATTACCACGATCACACCTTTTCGAACCCCGCGTTATCACAGAGTTCCATAGAAGCCCAGGAGAGAGGACTCGGATTCACTTTCGTAGTGTTGGACCGTCACGAGGTCCCCGTACCGACCGCGAGCCGGCCGCTATCTGTTCAACGGAGCACCACCATCATAGTGGGGCTCACATTCGCCCTACTTCCACGATGCTCCGGGTCCTCCTTTCCGTTCCTAGAGCCCCAGTCATGTGAACGCGCCACAGTTGATCCGGTCGAATCCGCGTGCACCGAGGGTCCAGAAGGGCTCATATGCCCAAGGGAGGCGATCTCAGGGATGACTCTCTTCGCCACGGTGCTACCGCCTCGCGCAGGTACTTGCCTCGAGCCCCAAGTATCCGCTGTGATCCCTCAGCCTCCCCCGCACCTCGTAGGTCCCTGAACCAGAACAGGCACCACTTTGGAACGTGTAGGAGGCTCCACGATCCGCCACGTCTCAGTGGCGGAACACAACTATAAGAACTAGGAAAGGAATGGGAACATAGTAAACTACGAGCAAAACAAATCCAATACACAGAAAGACTAACATACACGCCACCCAGCAAAGTACACCATATGTCACATACCCGAACTCCCCTACATACCAGCCATGAACATACTATAGACCACCCCTACTACCTACGCCAGAGTATCAGCCGTCACCCTTCCACTGAAAAATAATGATGACCAACCGACATGTCACTATTGCAAAACACCTGGACATTTTATACGAGAATGCCCCAACAAACGCCCACAAGAGGGGCAAGACCAGAGACATGACAGGAGGCGTAGACAATAAAGGTCGCACCCAACATCAGACCTAACAAATTGAACACCACGTTCATGTGTGCACACATACAGAAGTCATGAATAGACGGTTAATGACGATTAAAATTGCAAACTGTCAAACAAACGCAATAGTAGATACGGGAGCAACACACATATACGTTAACAAAACTATAGGAGAACACCTCAGAAACCTACAATTCCCGACACTCCAACAAGTCGACAATTCAATTACAGTCGCCAGCGAACAGACAACCACCATCGAACCTACTATACCAACACCCATCAACATAGGAAACCAAACATATTTAATGCACGCGAGACACGTACCAGACCTGACATATTGTTTGTAACGCGGCGGGTCGTGGAGCCTCCTCCACATCCCAAAGCGGCGCCCCCTGCCGAGCCAAAGGCCTCCGAGGTACGGGGGGGGGGGAGGCTACGGGATCACGATCTAAAGGGCTCGAGGTATGTGCCTTCAGGTGGCGGAAGCACCGTGTCAAGAAGAGAGCCCTACCTCAGGTCGTCAGGCGGACAGGGCTCATGGACACAGAGAGGATGGCCCAGAGCACCGGTGGCATTATGGAATCAGGACGGATGGAACGGGAGCTCCGTTGAACAGCTCTACTTTCTGGTAGGTCCTCAATCCTTACTTTGTCCCCAAGGCCACCAAGGGGCTGGATCTCATACTTAAGGGCGCTCACCACTCCAGCGATTTTTCAGGGCCTCACAGGGACAACGATTCCGAATGTATTTCTAAACCGATCGAGCTTAACGAGTGCTCATACCGAAGATGAAATGTTGACCTGCGTTCATATGGGAGCGATTTTCGATAAGTGGTCATTTTCATATAAAAAAGTGCAACGACATAATTTCAATCCTCTTTTAACTAGAAAGGAGGTGCTTGATCGAAAATCGCTTCCATATAAACACACGTCAACATTTTATCTTTAAAACGAGCACTCGTCGTTGAGCTCGATCGGTTAAGAAATACGCTTAAAATCGTTGTCCCCGTGGGGCATCTTATTCAGGATTTTCGAGTTTCTCGCGAGGAATTTGGGCATTCTTTGGCAACCGTTGCCGACTCTAGGCGGAGCGTCCAACTAGCGTGTGCAGGCGGCTGCGGGTCACACACGTTTCGGAGCCTAGTCCAGAGGCGTCTAGCCGTTGTGTGAGTCCTATACGTGCAAAATACGCACACATTTTTCGCCCGTTGCTAAACACCGCCCATTGTGCGTCGCGTCTCCCTCATCCGAGCGAGAAAGTACGTTTTGGTTACCTCCCACCGAATGAGCGAGAAAGTACGTTTTGGTTACCTCCCACCGAATTCGATGCTAAGGCCATCTAGCGGTGGAAGTCATCGTCCCCACTTTGGTGGTGAACGCCGTTAATATTTTTTTCTCTGTTTCTGGTGGGTCCTCAACCCTTACTTTGTCCCCGAGGTCACCAAGGTCCCGATCTTCATGCGTTAGTAATTTTTTGGGACGGACGTAAAACCCGACACAATGCTAAGGAATAGATACAAATCTTCTAAAATATTTTGTGTATGAGGTCAAGACTTTTTATGTGGTCCAATCGGTGCCGACTTTGACGGTTCGGGTAATCGCTGAGAATTCCCGACTGCTTACAAACACACGAAGGGGGAAGAAGTTTCAAGGTTCAAAATTCAATAATTTCAAAATTGTGACCATATGTTTTCATGAGGGCATTCCAAAAAAAGTTCACGTGATAAAGAATTCAATAAATTAGGATTTATGTAAAGTGATGAAAACATTAATATTTTCATATTTAGAGAAAACTTGTAGAGATTCTAGCATCCAGGCAAAAGTGTTATAATTTTTATTAGTTGCAATTTACTAGAGTTAAATAGAAATAATTACTTAGTTTTAAAAGAATTAATTGAAAACATTTTATTTTAATCATTTTTATAGGGATGGAATCCTAAATTGTGGATTGACAGTAATCAAATGTGGTTAATTTTCAATACAAAATAAAAGTTTAAACCTAAATATACAAACCTTATACAAGTACTACATTTCAAAAATGAATTGTCATTCTGAAATTGCTAAATATGTATAAGAATGTTCTCAATTAAGACATGTCCTACTAAAGATTTAGAATAACACATATTTTCCAATGCGATTACATACATCATTTGATATTCATTTTCTGAGATGAATTACTTATGAGACAGTATAATAATTATATCAAAAGATTAACATACCGATCTGAAATAACACGCGTACACTCGTGATTCCACAGTTTCAGCAAATTTTCTATAGCCGGACATTCTGATTTTTCAATTCTGAGCATGCCTTCCCAGATTCGAGATAAATCACGTAAATTGAAAATGTAGTGGAACTTTGCAGGTGTTGGCAACATTTTAATTTTTGTTTGTTGCCATATAATTCGGGTTAGTGGGATGAGCTTAGGAAGAAATTTCACAATTTCATTTGAGAATCTAGATTCACAAAAATATCCATGTCCAATGGAGCCTGGGACAGAAAATGTATATTCATACATAGACATATTTCGATTATAATTAATTTGCAGTTACATATGGCATTTGCATTCTGACGGGAATTCCTCATTTCTTATCAACAGACAGTCGTACGCCCTGTACGATATTAGCGGTAGGGGTCAAGCCTGGACTTCGGCGTGTCCGGAACTCTGCTTTCTTTAAGGTGAAGTGAAACACCCTTCAAATCAGTCGATTCGAATACAACACTTTTTTTTAAGGGTATTAGACCAAACTGTCCGAAACTTTAACGCATCACTGCTGATCATCTAAGAATTGTCCTGACACATTCAAAATTTGGATTTTTAAAAAAAAAAATTTTAACACAGTCCAGACCAGAACCAACATGGCGTCGAACTCTCATATTTCGATCAATATACAATTATCGAAGGCTCTGATATGAGAATCGAAAGGGTCAGGACAATTTTACGACAATTTAGAACACTCTGGTAATCGATAAACTCGCATTTGAACAGGATAAGGGCAAAAAAAGTGTTGTATGCGCTTCTATGCTAAAACGATGGGAATCCGGGGTCTCGGAGTGACAATTTAATTGACCTGGAAATCACAGATGGCGCAGGGTGTCCCGCTGCAGTCAATTAGGGCCCCAGAAAGCTTGAATCCAGAGGATTTCTGGAGTTTTACTTCGATTCCTTGATATTTATTATACGAAAACGACAGGTGTAGTATGCCATTTGGTACATTATTCAATGTAATTCGACACAGCTATCAATTTAAAAACGAACGTCGGCAACGTAGGCATTTAGAAAAATCTTCTTTATCGACATTGATCAAGTTCCTCGACGTGTTTCACTTCACCTTAAGGGGATTAGGTGCGCGCGTGAGCACTGCGGAATTCCGGGGCCCGGCTGCCTGAGCAGTTCAATCCGGCCCAAACGATGGGTCAGGTACGCCCCGTGCAGGGCGTACCCGACCAGCTACCCAGCTCCGTGAGGACCTTGCGGCCCTTCACGGCATGGCAGGGTTGAAAGGTTCGGCAGCGGGACGCGATACGGTTGAGAAGGAGTCGATTCCGGGGTCCGCGAGATGAGGATAATGACTAAATAAATTATAGACGCGAACTTACAGCAAACAGTCCCTTCGGGAATTTTATTACATGAAAAAAACCAGAACAGGATACATAGGTGCGACGCGACAATTAGACGTACTCTGAGCTCGGAGCCGGGGACAGGGCACGACGCTCTACCGGTAACTCACTACGATCAGGATAAAAGGGTAAAACTGTACGCGATAAGTGACCGGACTCCACTGCTGGAGTTCGATAATGGGCACGACGCCCTGTCGGGAGGATCTTTTTCTGGCCCCTAAGTACCTCTCTAAGGGCGCAGCGCCCACGATAGATGCGCAAAGGGAAAATTACGCCGACCCACGGTATAGCATTAAGGACGCTCACTACTCCAGCGATTTTGCAAGGCCTCACGGGGACAACGATTCCGAACGTATTTCTAAACCGATCGAACTTAACGAGTGCTCATATCGAAGATGAAACGTTGACCCGTATTTATATGAGAGCGATTTTCGATAAGTGGTCATTTTCATATAAAAAAGTGCAACGACATAATTTCAATGCCCTTTTACGTAGGAAGGAGGTGCTTGATCGAAAATCGCTTCCATATAAACACACGTCAACATTTTATCTTTAAAACGAGCACTCGTTGAGCTCGATCGGTTGAGAAATACGCTCAAATCGTTGTCCCCATGGAGCATCTTTTTCAGGATTTTCGGGTTTCTCGTGAGGAATTTGGGCATTCCGTGGCAACCGTTGCCGACTCTAGGTGGAGCGTCCAACTTGCGTGTGCGTGCGGCTGCGGGTCACACACGTTTCGGCGTCTAGTCCAGATGCGTCTAGCCGTTGCGTGAGTCCTATACGTACAAAATACGCACACATTTTTCGCCCGTTGCTAAACAACGCCCATTATGCGTTGCGTCTCCCTCATCCGAGCGAGAAAGTACGTTTTGGTTACCTCCCACCTAATTCGATGGTAATGCCATCTAGTGGTGGAAGTTATCGTCCCCACTTTGGTGGTGAACGCCGTTAACTTCCTCGCCCATTCAGACCTGCCGTCTGACAGTCGAGATAACGATACATTACAATATTGTCTGATACCAAAAAAAAGTTACGAAAGGGGCATGATATACGGGAGCGGGCGAAAGTCTCCTTCCGACAATACTTCCAGAACTAGGCGAGACACAACCCGTTTTGAGTAGTTAAGAAAGGGCTGTGAAAAGGGACTGGCCACGCGGTCGAGGTAAGAGATGGCCGCTACCTGAATCGTACTCGTACGCGGCCAAGAGAAATTCATCGGATCGGGACACAAGAGATAATCAGCGTGACATACAAAAACAATCTTTAATACCGGAAACGCATCGGAAATACATCAGGCTAATCACGGGACGGATATTTTGGCTAGTCGGGCGGACTTCGACTCATCACGCGGGGACAAAACGAAATTGGCGGTTTGATGAGTCTGGATCGTCCTCGATCGATCCAACACCGTATCGTAAATTTAGAAACAGACTTAGATTAACTAACAAATAATTGCTACAGCGCTAACGGTGCGATCGTACCTGCGCTCGAACCGCGCGACCCTTCGCGCCGTCATAACTTCTCCGCCGAGGGTAGAGGACCGCCATAGAACCCCATGGTCAAGGCGCTCGTCTCCCTTTTTTCGATGTTTTAGAGGTCTCTTTAAGGGCGTCCATCTGTCGCTCTCGACTCATGTGGAAACAGTCAAGTCGCAGACTTTTCCAAACCTTCCGAGAAGGACAATCTATTTCTTTAGCGCTTAAGCCTCGCTCTCTTAATTTCGGCACGTACCAATGAGAGACAATTTGTCACCATATTTCTTAAGTCCTTTCCAAGTTCCTTCTTGGAAGTACTTCTCTAGAAGTCTATCTTGCAGTCCCCACCTACACCTCCTTAACTGCAATGATTTCTCTTCCTACGCTCTTTTGCAACCAATCGGCTGCATTGCAAAATGCAGCCCATTTTTTCCTCCCGACCTATCCTCGAAGATCCTCACAAAACTCCACCCTCTCAAAACTTTCTCCGAGGTCTCGATACACCAAGATCTACATCGAAAAAGCAGAATCTGATCATCCTCCGAAAGGGGCATTTTCTCCGGCACCGACGCGACTAAGCATCAGTTCAAACGTGAACACTTTTTTGCTCGGGTCGTAAAACAATTACAGTCTCACACGGTTCGCTGCTCCGAAAACGCAAATCAACGCTAATTATCAAATCAAAAATACTCGCGTGAGTTACCGTTTAAGCGCGAAATCCGTCGTACTGTAGTGCACGGTACAGAGTCCCCCTGGGCTGACTATGGCGTACGTATGCTCTTATGCTATATTGTTTAAGTTTTTGATACAATGACGAAATTGTAATTCTTACCGAATATTGTATCCATTGATTTATTCGATGGCAAGGTGCAATTAAAGATATTAAATTGCCTTTTTACGCGCGGTGGGATATCATTACGACCACCACCTGGATGAATCATTGCTGCGAAAATCATAATATCATGGATATAGGAAAAGTCTCCAGGCTTCTCCAAGGAATAAAAGCCTTTGTACTCCATAAGTTGGCGAACTATTTCATTGGTGATTTGGTCCCCCCACTCATTAATTACTGGCATGTTTATATCATCTATGAATACAGTCATTTTTTTCCCTCCAGGAGGACCATATGTGGTACCTACCCGTTTTTCAACATAACTTTCAAATACGCGCTACAAAAGATATAAAAACATCAGTTTTGTAAACATTGTAATTATAATTCAGTATCAGAATCGCTCAGTAATACCTGGACCATATTAGGAGTGGAAGCGGACGAAAAATTGATTGACTTGTTTAAATGGTATTCGGGATCATATCGAGACATGTAACTTTTAATCATCACCGTTTTCGCAGTTCCTTGTTCACCTGGATAACAAGCACGAAATATATGTCAAACATTCCAAACATTTGTTTCTGAAAAACATCTATTACCCAGGCAATTCATGAAATGGAATATACGTAAATTAATTGTCTAAATTAGATCTATAGGTTTAGTAAATGTATATCGTTTATCATCCACCTAAAAAGAATATCTTTTGTAAGGATATGGATCTACTTTAGGTATGTGGCTATAGAATATATATATCATAAATATCTAAAGGATATACCAGGTGTATAAGCTTAAATCCCCTGTTTGCTTATAGACTACGCTAGTGAGTATATTAAATTACTATGGACACGCCATACTTTTGTTTTGTATGAGTTTGACATCTGTCAATAATAATCAGTGCACATCATCAGCAATTTTATACAACAACATACATTTTCTCTTTGGTAAACATGTCTAGTTTTTGCCAGAAGAAGGGCATATGCGGGAAGCTCTGCTTTTCTGCTTCAATTTGAAGAAATCGACTGCCGAATCGCATCGAATGCTTGTAGAGGCCTATGGCGACAGTGCTTTATCGGAAACAACGTGCAGAGATTGGTTTCGGCGGTTCAAAGACGGCAATTTTGCCCTAAGCGATAAGAAGCGTGAAAATCGGCCCAGGAAAGTTGAGGACCATCAATTGCAGGCTCTTTTGGACGAGGACGATACCCAATCGCAAAAAATGCTTACCGAGCAATTAGATGTTACTCAACCAGCCATTTCCATGCGCCTACGTGCTATGGGAAAGGTTCAAAAGATCAGAAAATAGGTGCCGCGTGAATTGACCAATAGGCAGATGGAACGACGCCAAAACAGATGAGAAATCTTGCTCGGCAGACAAAAAAGAAAGTCGTTCCTGTATCGGATGGTGACTGGCGATGAAAAGTGGATATTTTTCGAGATTCTTAAATGCAAGAAATCGTGGGTTGATCCCGGGTAACCATCAAAATCGTCCGCAAGACCAAATCGCTTCTGACGGAAGACGATGCTGTGCGTTCGGTGGGGTAGGATATCGTCTACTATGAGCTGTTGAAACCTAGTGAAACTGTCAATGCCCACCGTTACCACCAACAACTGATCAAATTACACCGTGCTCTGCGTGAAAAAAGGCCGAATTATTAGCAAAGACATGAAAAGCTGATTTTCTTCCACTACAACGCACCATCGCACGCGTCAAAAATGGTTCGAAACTATTTGGAGGCAGTCAACTTGGAGATGCTAACCCATGCCGCTTGTTCACCAGACCTGGCCCCTTCCGTCTACCACCTGTTTTCGTTGATGGACCACGCACTCGCTGAGCAGCACTTCGATTCTTACGAAGACGTCCGACAATGTCTTGCTGAGTAGCTTGCCTCGAAAGAGAAGGAATTTTTTGGCGTGGTACTCACAAATTGCCCGAGAGATGGGACAATTGTGTAGCTAACGAGGGCCAATACTTTGAATACATTATTTTTTCGCTTTCTATGAAAAAACATGTTTTTCTCACTAAAAAACAGCGGATTTAAGCTTATACACCTGGTATATCCAATCGAAGTGCCGAAGTTTGGAGTTAAGTATTCAGCACTGTTCGCGTATGCATCTTATAATGTATATGGTACCGAACTCTGCTGAGTTTTTTTTTATACACAGGAACAAAAATGGTTACAAATCCAGATTAGTAAAATCGTTAAACAATGCAAATTACCTGGTATTTCTGAAAATCCACAACTCGCGAAACGAGATCCGATCGTTTAATAGCAATATTGTTTGAAAGTAATAATTCCAAAGGAAAATACTAATGTATTAATCTAATTGGACTCGATTTGATTAATACTTGAATGGGATTAAATAAAAACACATAGTTCCGTTTAAAAAAAATCCTAAATCACAGATAATTCTGAAAAAAACGATGTGGAAACAAAAGTATTTCTTGCTTTAAATGTGGGTCGCAATACCCTTCAAGTTTTGATATAAACATTGTCACATATCTTCAAATCCAAGGCAGATATTCAGATATTCAGTTCTAAATGGACTAGCCGGTATATTCCGCTAGCAAACAGAATATAATACAGTATTGCAAGCATTAAATAAATAATACAAATAGTACTCACCAATAAGGAGTGCAGCTTTTTCTTGACGCGCTATAACGTCAATCAGAAATAGTGTTCGAGTGTTGTCCACATTCGGAACTAAGATGTCGTAATAATCAAGTACATAATCTGATGGATATTCGAAGATAGGAACTCTTTCGTTCCAGTGAATCCACTTTCCTTTTTCAGAAACCAAAAATTCAAAAATCGTTTCGTCTTCCTAAAATAATGCAGGCATTATTTATGACGAAAGTGTGATTGATGCTTGAAACGAAACAAACGGAAGGATAAAAAATTAAAAACTTTCATTCATTCCGAGTCTAAAATACATATTAATTCTAAAAACTAATCCCCGAAGAAAAATTATACTGACATTACGTTTTGGCCAATCACATTTAGAGGGATGCTTGACCAGAAACGTTTCCAACTCCTGGCGGCCGTCAAGTTCCAATACAGCGCCAAGACTCCACATTAGTGAGAACAAAAATAGTTTCTCGAGATGAGCTTCAGAAATAACTCCTAAACAGACGTTAGTTTAGTGATGATACATGCTATATATTTTAATTGAATGTTGAACTAACTAAATTCCATAGTTTCAAGAAAAAAAATGTACATCGTAATAACAACAGTGATCGAGCAGAGAACCGGAGTAGGGAGGGTCACTAGAAGAAGGATCGTGCGATGACCAGGAGATCTGACAATGAGTGGGGACGATGTTAAGATGTCGTAATTCTGTCATCTGTTAATCTTAAGGTGAAGTGAAACATCCTTCAAATCAGTCGACTCGAATACAACACTTTTTTTAAAGGCTATTAGACCAAACTGTCCGAAACTTTGACACATCACTCCTGATTATCTAAGAATTGTCCTGTCACATTCTACATTTGGATTTTTAAAAAAATTTTTTAACTCAGTCCAGTCCAGAACCAAAGTGGCGTCGAGCTCTCATATTTCGATCGATATACAATTATCGAAGGCTCTGATATGAGAATCGAAAGGGTCAGGACAATTTAACGACAATTTAGAACACTCTGGTAGTCGATAAACTTGCATTTGAACGGGATAAAGACAAAAAAGTGTTGTATGCGCTTCTTTGCTAAAACGATGGTAATACGAAGTCTCGGAGTGAAAATTTAATTGACCTGGAAATCACAGATGGCGTAGGGGGTCCCTCCGCAGTCAATTGGGCCCCAGAAGGCATGAATCCTGTTACGTAGGTACCTTCCGTACCCTAAAATAGGGAAAAATCC